AAAAGCGGTTAAAACATGGGTAAAGTAACATCAACACATATCGAAATATGCCCAACATCATTACGCTTCATGTTCCATTCTTCGGGGAATGGCATCTTCTCGGCGGGAATTAAATCGGAGGTCCTAACTCGGACAAACTGACACATCCATCCTCAATCCTTGTCCTCATCTATGCTCGAGAATAGCACCTTTGTGGCCCGGCGGTGAAGCCTTATCAGTCCACCCCAATAAAGATAGGGGCTGCATAGCCTAATGAGATGATCGAGGGTGAAAGACATCCCCTCGATCTTGCTCGAGAAGAATTTGAGCAAAATGACAATGCGCCAAAAAGAGGGGTAGATCTGGCCTAGGATTATCCGGTATTGGCAGCAGAAGTCGATTATGACGGGATCGACGGAACCCAGTGTGAAGGGGTAAGTATACACACTTAAGAACCCTTTCACTTGAGTGGTGATGTCCTCTTCGGGGGTAGGAATCACCACCTCTTTATTCTCCCAGTGGAAGTCCTTTTTCACCTGCTCGAGATCGCCTTCGGATATCGAACATATGTATCTAGTCATGGGCTCGCATCGGCCAGGAACCGAAGAGGGTTTTTTGACTTTAAAGTCGGAAGTAAGTTCACATGGCCCGGGGATGCACTCTTCGATACGTGGCTCCACTGGTGTTTTGTGGAGGCCTTTTTCCTCTTGAGGAACGGTATTTGATATTTTTGCCATTGTTATGTGAGGTTTAAGGAAGAAGAAGGCGGAATTTATGTTTTAATAATAGATTGGTAAACGGAAACCAGCAAAATTAATGAACTTGAAGAAGATAGAGGAACTTTTGAAGATTAGAAGAAGTTTGAAAGTAAAGTTTGAGAAGATTATAAAGATGGTCTATTTATAATAGTCACTTTGTCGGTTTGAAAGCACTGGTGGCCGACCATCAACTAGCGTTAATTAATGATGTTGGGAACTGTGCAGACGCGACGCTTCAGTCGCTTCTGTCGCTTACGTCACGATGTTGACGTCATAATTGATTGAGGTATTAAATCGAAGTCTCGAATTCGTTTTCTTCTCGTTACACTCCAAAAAATGGGGGACTATCTGTATACGGTCGAAATCGGGCATACCCGATTTTGGCGGAGGGGAGTGCCTCGAGGGTAACCTCATAATAGATCAGGCTCGAGCTCGAAGATAGAACGTCGAGCCTGGAGATCGAAGTGTTCACTGAAATCGAGGCCAGTAACAATCGAGATCAAGCATGACTGACTTCGAGTAAGGCGTAATAACATAACGGCGAGATGTCAGCAATCGGTCGAAGATCATGACGGAAATCCCGGAACGGATCAAATCAAAGCGGTTATTAGTGCCAATTGTGGGGTCTATTTCCGTTATTAGAGTTGTACCATAATTAGGTTTCCTCTACTATATAAAGAGGAGTTTCAATTATTTATAAGGCATCATTATTCACTGATAAGAATATACATATACACTGTTTTCTTTGTCTTACTTACTGTTCATCACTGCTTGTTCTATCCTATATTGTTCGTAGTAACTAACCTCGAGACTATCTCGAATCAAGGTTGAGACATCGTTTGCAAACTGGTTTGATTTATTTTATTGTCCAAATTATCTATTTAATTCATTATTTATCAATTGGTGCTAGTCTAAATCACATATACTTAAAATCACAATAAAAGTTTAATTGTTACTCAATTTTTAGGGTAAACACACTTCTTTCAATTTTGATGGATGAAGGGAAGTTAAAGGTGGTACATAAAATCAATTACTACTAAAGACGATAAAGTACTATTTGTGGAGCATACCTGAGTAATTTCGATATCACATTTGAAAAGGATGAAGCAGTAGCAAAACTAATTATTAAAAAAAAAAAAAAAAATCAGCCACATTAAAATTATTATTTTGGAAGGTCCAATCACATATTATTTTGTTCTTAATTTCTTATTATTACTTTTTCCTAGCCATTTAGTAAACTTACGAAATTCAATCGGACTACTAATTCTGAAAACAATTTTTTTTTAAAAAAAAAAAATAAGAGAGGAAAAAGAGAGTAAATAAGGGAATTAAGAATTTCTTATTCAAATAGAATGAATTAGGGATGCAAATCTAGGGATAGGACCCATTAACATGTGAGGCACGTGTATCAAAGTGTAGTAATATTTTTTATTTTAACTTTTAAGACTTAAAAATATTTATTCTAAATTCTAAAATTAATTGATTTTACATTTCTAGAAATACACCGTCAATCTAAGGTCATGTCTATTAGCATTCAGTTTATTGTCGTTTCCCCTTATTACAAAAGCTCACATTTAAAAATAAATAAATGATATCAACGTGGAAGATATTTGCTCCTCAATAATGCTAATTAGCTACTTCATCTCTTTTTGTTTTTTTATAAGTATCTTTTATTGGTCAATTTACTAAGAATTCACTGTTTTCTATAATTTATCTGCACTGTTAAGAACACAGAAAACTAAAAAGTGATTTTGTAAATGTTACAACGGTCAGAGAGAAGTAAAAAAAAATAATAATACGTGTGTTTGGTTTGACGGAAGTTATTTTCTGATGTTTGACTGCTAAAAAATATTAAGGAAAATACTTTTATCAAATGGGGGACATTTACTTCCTCACTAATGGACGAAAATTATTTTTTAAAACTTCCTGGACTTTTAAACTCCATATTACTTGCTTCGACTAATATTCAGACATTATTATTACAATTTTTGTACTATAAAGTTCATCATAACACCTTGTGATTTGTTAATATTATAAATTTTTAGAAGGAAAATTTTTATTTACCATCCAAATACTAAAAAATATTTTTCATGAGAATATTTTTTATAAAAAACATGTTTGCATGAAAACATTTTTTATGAAATATGATTTTCGTCGTACCAAACAGACTCAACTGATATTAAGATAGTCTGGGAATTTCTTTAATTTAATTTTTCTTGAAGAGTTTGGGTACCTGAATTACGGCAAGTTGAAGCCACCGCAGAAATTCAGGAATTAGGACAGCTGGAAGAAGACATATCAACAAAACCCATTTATTTAATAAGATAAAAAGACAGTAGTCTAATTAACAGTAAAATATCACTCCATTTTCAAGCTTGCCATTGCTAACAACAACAAATTAGTTACACAACATAAAGAAGAGATAATGTTCAGTAAAAAGTTAGTGATTAGTGAAAATTTCAGTTTTTTTTTCTTACCTCCTTTTTTTTGATTTCTCACCCGGTGTCCGGTATCTGCATTGGAGCCTGACTATATCTGGATTCGCACCGCGTAGGACCCCATTCGGGGGGGAAGCGCTTCCTACGAAAGATTTTTCTATACACGGGGCTCGAATCCGAGACATCTGATTAAGGGAAGAGTAGTCTCATCCACTGCACCACATTCTTTGATTATTTTTTTTCCTTACCTCTTGTTTCACTTTATTAGTAGAGAACCAATTTTTCACCTTGTAATCCCCTTCTCCCGTCATGTTATATATCAAAACTATGGCATGCGTTTTCCGTTTTAGTCCAACAGACCTCACAGATAAGTCCCTTGGGCTATGCACGTCCAGCCAAAAAATACGTGTTACCTTCTAAATTTATATTATGTCTTATATAACTATTCATTTTCTTCATCCATTTTGATGTGAAATTTGTCTAAGTTGTCATGATCATCCCCTTTTTTGAAAGCTAGCTTAGAAGCTTGACGGTCCTTCTTTTTGTCCTGCCCTCGTCTACCCGCCCTGCGTCATGAATGTCACAAGTTCCCCCTTCTCATCCCCGTGTATAATTTAGAAAGAATGGACTGAATGATCGACAAACCTACTATGGTAATAATATGCCAATTTTCATGTGAAATACATGGTTGTTGATTATGGCAATTTTCTCTGGTCTATGGCTGCTTGCTTCATGCAAACTGACAAAAAATACTGCTTAGGCATGAAAGTGAAGATTTCACTACTTATTTTCACATTTCCTTACTTTCTTCTTCTCAACACCCCCCC